GTTATTCATAACAATGAATGCTTCAGTCATCCCATCAACTACAGTAATAGCTACAGTCATTACAGGAATGAAACTCACCGTTAGTGCCTTTTCCAAGACAGTCAATACCAAGAACATGACTTTTCGTCTGAACTTGTTGCGCTTTCACTTCGGTGAGCTCTTTGATTGGTTGTAAGCCACTGTTTTCCGCCAGCGTCATTGGTATGCTTTCGAGAGCATCGGCGAAAGCTCTGAAAGCGTACTGTTCCAAACCGGTGATCTAAAGACGATTCATTACTGCAGACATCCAATGTAAAGCCTAACGTAAAAAACGAACTTTGTCTGCTTCCTGCGATACGGCTATCGAAGCAGATATTTCAGCAGCGCCGCCACCGTAGGTAATACGGTTATCTTTGATCAAATTTCTCACCTGGCACAGTGCATCATGCATCGAGCGTTTGGCTTCTTCTACGATCTGAAATAAAACAGTGGTCTCACCACGCACCAAAGAAGGCTACAGACTATTTCCAATTCGGTAGCTGGTATTGTTTCACAGTAAAACATTATCTTCGCCGTTACGGAAAACGGTCAAAATAAGAAATATAGTGATGTCTATATCTCAGAGTTACTACAATAACCGTAAAGATCTGCAGTGAATCAAAACACAGTTAACTACCGAAGTAATAAAATGTGGAGCTGGCAGCGCCCATTATGCTTTCACAGGTAATAACGTCGATAAGAAAATTTTCAAACTCCTGAATCACGGGGAAGAATTTGAGCACATATCAGAATAATTCTCAAAGAATGCAAGGCATAAAATAGGGGTCTATACGGAAATTTGTTAATAACAGCATGGATAATACAACTGGGTTTGACAAGGTGCTGCAACGCTGCTCTTAAATAACAACGGCACCCTTACCCGGGGAACAGTTCCGTGGTATCTGAGCAGTGCATAAATATATAAAGCATAATCTACTGGCTAAAGCAATGCCTTGCATTATTACGTTTCATCAGCCAGACTCCGTACATGGCTCCGAAAAACATTAGCATTGATTTTTTTCGGCGGTATATGCTATTAAGCGCATAAATTCGTAGATTATCAAGGATCAACGGGATGCAGTACTATTTCATGAAACTCAGTTATAAATTAAATTTCATAAAAAAAGAGCTGTCATGCACTGATCTAATGATGAAAATTCAGCTTTTCCTCAATAACTTAAAAGAAGGTTTAGTCAAAATAAGCAGAACAAACGTGCATTACGTTAATCGAAAGAAATCTGCTTGAAAAGATATAAATAGGATCTTAATAATAAAGAAACAGAAATTTTGAAAAAAATCATTTATTAAGCGAATCTTTGGAATGTTCTTTCTTCAGCACAAAATTGACAATTGTTAACTGACATGCTAAAGAATTAACTCCGTTGTTGGTTCTAAAAGTTCCATTTAATAAATATTTTTTCAGGGCTTCTAACCTTTTGTTAATTTATCTATTAAAAGCACATGAAATCATAAAATGTTTAATTTATAATATTATCAAGATAAGCAGATAATGCACCATGGCGGATAAGTGAATAGACAATACAGGAGATCTTGCGCTATAGATAATGGATTGAGAAATAAAAGGGATTTATCCAAAAAAGCATAAGGAACTTATGTTTTCGTTTGGATGTTGGTCTCTATAATTCCACGGTGGATCTCAGCTTTTAATGGAGTCAAATAAGAGTGCCTTACTTTTTTAGACAGTACCTACAGCTAGGCGATCGCTTGTTCTTATATAGTGCTATTAGCTTACTTATTCAAGTATAATGAACCCGAGCAGAATTTGAAACATGATCATTTGATTGCAAGATCTGCAACTATCGACCGAAGTGGCTATTAGTCACCTGCTTTGTACGCAGGAATTATAGCAGTACAAGGATTTCATAAATTACTGAAGTGTAAGAACAAACAGTTACCATTTTGTTTCCTCCACGGATGAAGATAGTGACTGCACGATGGTTTGGGCATTCCTCGATACAGAGCATCCTTTCTTTGACAGTGCCGAACGATAGCTCGCGCACTAAGCCGGCATTTCCAAGTTTGTCAGGCGTCAGTTCACAAAAGCGAGGCACAATTCGACCGTTAGTTGCAATGGCAATCAGCTCGATCTCGGGACCACCAACCCAACGAACAGCTGGCAGTTTGTGATGTAGCAACAAATGGTTAGCCTCGTCGTCAAAACCCCACTGGCAGATAACCAAGTTAGCACCGCTTGCCTTCGTCTAAAAACGCAAGCCTTAATGCAGAAAGTGATCAATTTAAGTTCCGCATGAACCTCTTGAATCATCTGCTCGAAAGTCTTTCGTTCGTATTCCCTCAACTGCTTGTAATCCTCAACGGATTTCACGTCCAGCTTATGTTTGGTCTTCGGCTTTGGCGGCTCAAACGGACATGTGAAAATAGCGATCTTAGCATTTCGAATCTCCTAAAATTTTGCATATTAGAAAATTACCGGATGATTTTAAGTTAAACTTAGAGGACTTCAAAGGTCAATAAAAGTTAGCATTGTTCTGTTTCCGCATAAACATCAACAGTATCATTAGATTACTCTGTCATGAAGCTATCCTCTAGTGTTTGATTTTATATCAGGTTAATCATAAGTGGCATGAAACAGCTGCGTTATCAGTTAATGGTATATGTTCCTACGTTCTGGGCCAGTCAGTTATTATATATAATAATCTGCTGGCATATGTACACATGAATTAAATAATAACCAAAAATATTTATACGAATACGCCAAACTTATATAAGCTTTAATTTATTACCTAAATTCCTGGACATTTTGACTGTAAACACCTTTTACTATTAGAATACTGCGGTTACTTCAAAATTCTGATTAAAATAAACCGTATTTTTCTTTCAACACTATTTTACTATTTACTGAAAACGTTTAAGGGACAAATGCCACGCCAACCAACGAGGCAAGATGATAAGCGTTCGGTGCAGATTACTACAAAAAGAAGAATGAAAAGTTTGCAACGGTCAGGATGCACAGTTTCATGAGGCAGCCAATTCTGTCGCCCCTATTTCCGCGAAGTTAATCGTGGAGTGCTAATCTCAATTTTTACGCCATCAGCCATTTAGCAAGCAAACTGTGTAATCTACTGTTTTCTTACCACAGTGGCACTCATTTGTCAACACTGAAAGGAAGGAGGTGAAGTTACCTGACAGAAACTCCAGCATCGAACCACTCAGTTCCGAAACCCTCTACCTACTGAAGAACCTCAGCATATAACCAGAAACATTTTTCAAGAATCTAATACGTTTAATGTGGTATTTAAATATGCAATGTTGCATTTTGCGCTTAAACGCTTTTACTAATTGATGGAGGAGGTGTTATCGTTGATATGGCATCAGTTGTAACATGATATTCGGGTTTCTTGCAGATACTAGAATGAACAAGTTTCAAAAAAGTTAAAGAACCATTTAATCCTCTGGTATATCAGTCCGATATTTACTTTGGGCATTTGAGAGTGACTGAAGTCCTTGTCGATGATCACGCCTTTGACGAGTACGGTGTCTTCAAGAGTACCGCCCACCTTGCCCTCGATTTTGATCAGTTCGAAATTGACGTCTCGTAGTTTTAAGTCAGCCACGCAGAAGGCCGCATCCACTGCGATTTCGGCCAGCTTCCGCATGCAGCGGTTGATACTAAAAGAATGGACAATACACAAAGGAAAAAGGCATTATAAACTCGATCAGTGGCTCTGCGTACACTTTTGATCCTAGCGCTGTTTCAGCGACTTGAATGAGCGATTCGCGGTTATTCAAGTCAGCCGGAAATGAACTGGCAATCTTGTCCAGATGGCGCAAGGTAAACTTGCAAGCCAAGTCATAGCCATCAGCGATTTTGATCGGGTGGATACCTTTGTCCAGCAACAACTCTGCCTGTTCCAATAAGGCTCCGGCGAGAACTAAAACGACAGAAAATCGTCACTATTATTCAGCACTGTTTCAGCGATGAATCACTCAACCTACCTACAACACCGGTTGTGCCGTCTCCAATTTCATCGTCCTGCGACTTGGCCAAGTCCACCATCAGCTTAGCGATTTGATGCTTCACGTCCATTTTTTCAAGAATGGTCGCTCCGTCGTTGGTCACCGTCACATCGCCGTCAGGGCTAACCAACATTTTGTCCAAACCCTGCGGACCGAGGGAAGTTCGCAAGGTGTCAGCTACAGCTCTAGCAGCGAGGATATGCGACTACAAAGAAAACAGACTTTATAGAGAATGCCAAGTGAGAAACTAGGACAAACAATTTTCTAAAAACACCTGAAAAAATTCTTATGTGATATGAAAAAGTAAATGCCATAATCTTTTGTAATGTTTCTAACTGTTCTGCATTTAATGCAGGTTTAAATGAAATTTATGACTGGTATAATTCAATACAGATTCATCCAAGTGTGCAGGCCGACGACTGATATTCCCTGTTTTA